GTGAACAGACACGCAACAATTTCAACAAATTGTGAAAGCATTGCATTTTTTAAAATCACTTTTCGCTTAGCTTCAGACCACTGGAACATGGACGAACTGCTCGACGAGCTCATCGAACTCGACTCGTGCACAATGGATTTGGGCGACGAAAAAGCGGACGAGCTGAAATTTATGCAGGAAAAAACGACGTTCGAGTACCTGCCCGAGTGGTGTCATGGTAAGAGCATTTTCTGAACATTTTCTAAAATCGTGCTTCTTGCTAAACGAATAGAAGTTTTGGGCGTCGTCCGAGAGAAAGTTAGGCCACGTCCGAGGGAAACTTCCTTGAGAGATTACTCGAGGCATTGCAGTGATATATTTTGTTTGCAGTGATAATTCCGTCGTTCGAGCACCGCGGCTACCTGCACGCGGCCGCGAATGAGCTGAAAGCGGAAGAAGAGTCGAAGAAAGAGAAGGAGAAGGAGGAGAAGGAGGGCGGAGTCGTGGAGGAAGAGAAAAAGGCCAAGGACGACGAGACTGTACGTTTCTGCATTTTTTGTAGTGAGATTTTTCAACATGTTACCGAATTTGCAGGCGCACACGAACCTCTACCTCTATTCGCCGTTTCGAGAAGATTCGGTGGAAGAAGAAGCTGAAAAAGCGGCGGAGCCAGGAAATACAGTAACCCAGGAGACGAAGGACGAACCGATGGACCATTGATGCGTTGAACTTTTTTGTTTTCTCAAAGATCTTTAAAAATATTCCAATTTTATCGAGTTTTTTTGTGATGTTTACGGTATTCAGAACCCATGTTCATACTTTTTTATGCGGAGCGTTGATTTTTTATTCGCTTACAACTTTCTAGAAGATGATAAGCTCAGAATACGAGCTTCCGCCCCAGAATTTGGGAAATTTGGATGCGGACCGACGCGTCACGTTTGTGAGAGCGAAAAATGCGGAAGAAACGGTGGAGACGGGCAATTCGGATGATATTCTAAAAGGTTCGTGGCCTAGAATTCGACAAAAGTGAGTTTAAGGCCAGTTTCCGAAAAGCTGACCTAGAATTCCAATTTAGTGGTCTGGAATCCGACAAGACGGATTTCTAGGCCATTTTTCAAAAACCCGGGCAGAAATTTTAGTTTAAAAGCTCGAAAACACATTTAAGGCCTGTAAATTCAAGACTTTACATCGAATTTTAAAAAAAACTCATTCTTCAGCCCCCTCAATCCCTTCCACCTCAAATTCGGACCTTCGGAGCATCATTGGCACATCCACCGCTAGAAACAGTGAAAAACCCGCGGAAGACACGAAAACTCGAGTGAAAATCGAGGAGGACGACGAGATAATAATAGTGGATGAGGTGGAAATCAAAAAAGAACCGGAACATTCGCGGGGCAAGTGCGAAATTCGCGATTTGAACGCTTTTTTGAAAGCGGCAAAAGACGGGAGTTTGGAGGAAATTGAACGACTTTTGAGAGAGAAGAGTGGGTTTTTTTCTGGGAATTTCACGAACATTTACAAAAAAGACGTTTCCAGAAGTGCCCATAGACCTGCCGGATTTCTACGGCTGGACAGCGACAATGTGCGCGGCGGCCGAGGGAAATTTCGAAATTTGCCGTCTCTTGCTGGAAAAAGGGGCGGAGCCTGGAGTTCGGGACTCGCGTGGAAGAGGGATTCTTGATATTGCACGAGAAAAAGGACAGAATCGATTTGTGAAACAGTTGATGGATTTTTATTGTTCCAGGTGAGCAGCATTGTTTTGTTTGAAAGTGAACTGTGTTGTATACCAATCGACGCAGAATTTTGCGCTAAATCAAGTTCATTTTACATTTTTCTGCAGGTCTTAAGTCATTTTCCCATTTTTTTGCAGCCACATCCCTTCGACGAGCCGAGAACCCGATCGAATGTCATTCTGCGACGCGTGCAACACGTTCTTCGGCGAATCCGAGCTCACCGAGCACATTTCGACGATAACGCACCAGCTGAACGACGGAAAGTGGAAAGGAGCGGCGCCGCAGACGGGCATCCAGTTGGGACCGTCCAACATTGGATATCGATTGATGTGCGCCAGTGGATGGACGGAGGAACAGGGTCTCGGACGGAATTCCGACGGACACCGCTTTCCGGTGAGCATTTTAGGCATCCTAGGCGTGGTGTATGTCAATAGACGCAGAATTTTATTCTGAACAATAAATGCTGTTAGAGCTATGCTCGAAAATTGATTTGTAAAAAGTTAGAGCCCGAAAACGATGTTGGCCGAGAAAAACCCAGACCATGTTGTAGATTTGGCGGGGAAAGTCTCGAAATAGGCGGAAAACTAGACTGCTCAACATTTTTCCTTCCAGATTCGAACAATTCTGAAGCGGAACCGAACCGGACTGGGCCTCGAAAATCCGCCGAAAAAAGTGACGCACTTCGGGCCGCGCGACCCGAAAGCCGTACAAAACGAGCGGATTCAGAAGGCGCCGGTGACGAAGAAAATGCTGGAAAAACAGAAAAAGCGAGAGGATCGCATCAAGAAACGACTCAGAGCCGATTTTTCCGATACGAGTGCTGTCTATGAGTATTTTCAGGGAAAATAAACACGTGTTCTATTTGTTGTGTACTTCTCGCGATTTTTTACGGTTGTAAACACCGCTCTTATCTTATTTCTCTTGATTAAAAAAAATCTCAACTGAAACATTGTTTTTTGTTAAGGAGATGAACGAGTATGGATGTAACGTGTGCAACGACGAATACTCGACCACGGTTCCCGGAAAAGCGCCGCGCGTGTTGACAGGTTTGTGGCCTACAAAATGAAAAATGGGAAAAGTTAGGCCACGGCCGGGGAAGAAGTGAATTTTTTTCGAGAATTTGCTCAAACGCATTGAAATTAGCGTATTTTCCCGATAAAGCTCCCGACAAATGAGACAAAATACAATTTTTCAGGGTGCGGTCACACGATCTGTCACAGTTGCGCCACGTCGATCGCCGGCACCAGTTTCATCCTCTACTGTCCATTTGACCGAACGACGACGTCGATTCCGCGAGGCGACGTGCAGAATCTCAAAAAGAACTTTGCCCTTCTGGAGCTGCTCGAGAAGATCGCCGACGGAACCGTTGTCGAAAGGACCGCCGACTCGCCGCGCTCGGACCGCTACGCGCGCGAACGTATTCTAAATGTGGAGTGCGACGAGCACGCCGAACACGTGGCAGTCATCTATTGCACCGTGTGTGACAGTAACCTCTGCGAGCGGTGCTCCGAAACGTCGCATTCGACGAACGTTCTCTCGCGGCACCGACGAATCCCGCTGAGCGAAAAGCCGCCGCCGCAAGTGCACTGCAAACTGCACTCCTCCTACGTCGTCGAGTTCTTCTGCAAAGAGGTGTCGTGCGACAACGAGAGCGCGCTGATGTGTTTGATGTGCAGGGACTACGGACGGCACAAGGGACACGCGCACGTGCTCATCGAGAAGGAGGTCGAGGAGCTGAGGGAGAAAGTGCGCGAGCATCTGGGCGAGCTGACGAAGAAGGCCGAGACGGTCGACAATTCGCTGCTGCTCATCAACGGCTCGATTCATGATCTGACACCCGGTGAACAGGACGGAACACTCGAGGATACCAGACAAGGGGTACGGATCTAGAGGGGGTTATATAGGTCAGCTAGCGGCTTCTCGACGTTTCGCAACTAACTTGAAGTACTTGGCGATAATTAGCGCTGTGAAAGCTCGTTTCGAGAAGTCGGGGGAGGCGAAAACGCTTGTCAACGCGACAAGCACAAAGCTAGATGTGGGGCATATTCTGAGAAACAAAAATTTCTTTAAAAAAAACAGAAATAAGAACTCGTTTTCCAGGTGCGCAACCACTTCCGCCGTCTCCGCTCCGCCCTGGATCGCGACGAATCGACCGCCATAGATACCCTGGACAGTTACGCGCAGAATCGCGTCGAGACCCTTTCCAATCTAAAAGAACGGCTCGAAGCGCACTCGATAAAGATCGGAGCGACGTGTGTGGCATTGCAAAGGGCGCTGATCATGGAGAAGGGGAAGATTCTCGACCGGAAGGACGATCTGCTGGCGCTGGCCGAATCGACGGTCGCCGAGCCGATGGGCGTGCCCGATTCGTCGCAGCTGACCACCCGGATCGCCTTCTCGTTCGCCCCCCGACCGCAAATTGCACATTGGCGACTTCATCGAAGCGCGCGTCGTGCTTTTTGGGTCAGTTTGACGGACAGTCGGAGGATTCTAGGCCATGAAAACATTCGTGCAAATATATCATCAATCAACTCCCGGTTCTCTAGGTCTTGACGGCGCCGGCAAAACGAGCATTGTGCGGCGGCTCAAAAAAGTGGCGATCGACGCGGTGATGGCGCCGTACCCGACGATCGGCTTCAACATCGAAACGATTCACTACAAAAACTACCGCTTCAACTTTTGGGACGTGGGCGGTCTGCCGAAACTCCGACACCTCTGGAAGCACTATTATACGAACACGCAGGGTGAGCGCGCAAAATGCCCGGCCAACATTGGCAAATTTCGCGATTTTCAGCAATTTTCTACGTGATCGACGGACACGCGGTGGAGCGATTCACGGAGGCGATCAGAGAGCTGAACAAAGTGATGAGCGACCCACTCGTCGGCACTTGTCCCGTTTTTGTGGCCATCAACCGGAAAGAGTTCGTTTTTAAGAGAATCGTGTCTGGTTAGCGTTTGAGATCAAAAAGTGTCATAATCATCTTAATTCTGAACCCAGAAGTACCGCCTGTCCAAGTTTGATCCCAATCCGATCATTTTCCGCCGAGATACACCCACACAAAGTGCGGATATCACAGATTTCCTTACAGCGGCTCCACACTAAACGGTCACATGGACGCGCTGCTCTCCCAACTCGACGCCCTTCCGTTCCAACATAACTTCCACTTTTGCGACGCCTCCACCGGATCCGGAATCGACCAGATCATTGATCAGATTTCGGACTCGTTGAGCCGATTGAACGGATCTTGTCCGGTCTGACACCTTTTTGTACTGTTCTTTTTTTTAAATCAGTTTTGTGTACATAAATACAGATTTTTTCGACTAGCTACACATAAGAACACAGTTAACATTGGACTAGACACACTTGTGACTCGCTAAATGTTGATCTAACCTGTCACTCGGAGAACCGCGACACAAACCACAACAAGACATTTTGTGATCGATTTTGCGCGGACACGAGTATAAATAGGTTAGATTTGGCCAGTGGTCTTGTCAACCAAAGAGAAAATGAGCGTGATATTACTTGCGATTCCAACGATTCTCATCGGATTTTTGAGGTTTTTTCCATTCTTTTTCAACACTTTCTCAATCTGAACCCTCTTCCAGCTACTTCCTGTTCAAATGGACATATTGGCGTCGACGTGGCATCCCCGGACCCATGGGCTATCCGATTCTCGGCGTCTTCATGAAAACGCTGGACAGTCGGAACCCGCCGTACCTGCAGCTGAAAAAATGGACAAAAGAGTACGGAAGCGTGTACGGATTCACGGAGGGAACCATCAAGACACTGGTCATTTCGGATCCGGACATGATTCAGGAGGTGTTCCTCAAACAGTACGACAACTTTTACGGACGCAAACTGAATCCGATCCAGGGAGATCCGGACAAGGACAAGCGGATCAATTTGTTCAACGCGCAGGGTTTTCGATGGAAAAGATTGAGAGCCATATCGAGTCCGACTTTTTCGAATAACAGTCTGAGAAAAATCAACGAGACGGTGGAGGATTGTGCGATGGAATTGTTGAGACACATTGAGGAGCAGACGGCCGGAGGGCAACAGATCGACATGTTGGAGTGAGTTGAGGGTTTGCATAAGCGTAGTGAGACAAATATACTTCACAGTATGCTCTAATCGTTATTGGCCTCTGTTTTCCAGATTCTATCAAGAGTTCACAATGGATGTGATCGGTCGAATTGCGATGGGCCAAATCGGATCCCTGCAATTCAGAAATCCACTGTTGAAACATGTCAAAGCGGTACTTACATTCATTTCAGTCTTTCAAACTTTATCATCAATCTCATCTTCAGATCTTCGGTGAGGACCGCAAACACATCTTCCTGATCGGCGGAATTCTGCCCGCTTTCGCCCAGTTCTTCCGTTTCTTCATGCTGAAACTGCCGTTTCTCGGCGCCGGACACTTTATTCACATCACAGAAACCATGGTGGCGGCGGTGCAGAATCGGATGAAACAGAGAGAGGAGGACGGAAAACGGGGCATCGAGGCGGGGGAGCCGCAGGATTTCATCGATCTTTTCCTGGATGCGCGCGCGGATGAAGTGCAACACTTTGGGGAGGGAAATGAGGATTTCAGCAAGAGCAGTAGCTATGTGAGTACTCATATCCGTGTAAATCTATGTAATTGAGTTACAGACGAATCGTCAATTGACTACAGAGGAGATAGTGAGTCAACTATCAGTTTTCCTCATCGCTGGCTTCGACACAACCGCTCTTTCGCTCTCTTTTTCCACTTTTTTGTTGGCCACTCATCCGGAAATTCAACAAAAAGTGCGAGAAGAAGTGGACAAAGAGTGTCCGGACCCCGAAATTTCATTCGATCAACTGACAAAGCTGAAATATTTGGACTGTGTCATCAAAGAGACCCTCCGGTTGTATCCACTGGGAACACTGTAAGTTTCACTTTACTTTTTAGTGAAACCAACCTTGTCCGCTTCAGTGCCAACTCGCGGAAGTGCATGAGAGCCACCCAGCTCGGCAACGTATCGATAGAACCGGGAACGATGATCCAAGTGGACACGTGGACCGTGCACACGGATCCGTCGATCTGGGGCGCGGACGCGGAGTCATTCCGGCCGGAAAGATGGGAAGGCTCGACGGAGCAGCACAAAGGCGGCGGCTACATTCCATTCGGACTGGGACCGCGACAATGCATCGGAATGCGGCTCGCTTATATGGAGGAGAAGCTGCTCCTGGCTCATCTCCTCCGCAAGTACACCTTCCAGCCGGGCGCCCGCACTCGCATCCCGCTCAAGTTGGTCGGAAGGGCCACCACGCAGCCGGACAGTGTTTGGATGCATCTCAAAGCGAGAGAATAAACGGATATTGTACATTTCGACGGGTTTTCTATGTGAATAAATGCTTACTTTGTCTCTCGATTGCATCAAAAATCCGCGGCGGCGCGCTACATGACACAGCCCCGCCGCCCGGCTTCTCTCGCCGCGTTCGTGGTGTAATGGTCAGCATGGATGCGCACAGGTGAAACGCGGTTGATCAATTATACAATTGAGCCAATTGTAGACAAATTATCAACAAATCGCGAACGGGATGAGAAGCAGATTGGCGCACCACACAGTGTATAATAAAGAAATCGCGCTTGTTCGCGATTGATGTATAATTAGTGAATTATTGACAAGTTCGCGAACGAGGGTGCACAATCGACAAATCGGCGAACGGGCTGGTCACTCTGAGTTTTGCTTTTGCATTCAAACATTTGTGATTTTTTCATATTTTCGTTGGTTTTTATTGCAATTTCGCATGCTTTTATGTAATTAAACCAAAGTAGAGCATACAGGTTTCGCATTTCAATTCGTTATGGTTCATTGCCACGACTAATACTTCCAGAAACAGACAGCCGCAGGTGAGAAAATGGATTTTTGATTCAATTGCATGAGAAAAAAGATTTAAGATAATGCGAACGAATTTAGAAAAAGAGAAGAATAACTGGAAGTTATTAATGCCGACCAAGATTTAAAAAAGTGATTCGAGTGTGCCGGGCGCAGAGTTCGAACAGTGTCAGACGGCCTATTCCTCGCAAAAACGAACAACGTGGTCGTTGGACGGTGAGATTCAGAAGGATACAAAGAAAATCAATCATTCAATTTCAGTCAATGTTCGTCTTCGAATAGTGTGTGGGAAGAAAACGATGACGTTTCGAAAAAGGAAAGAAAAAGATGAACACATTCAGCATGAGGACGGAGTCGCAGAAGTAATCGCCGACTGTTACGTGATTTTTCTACTTAATTCTTTTTCGATTTTTTTCTTTCACTTCTTCTTTTGTCTCTAACATTGCATTCTGTTATTTTTGTTACTTTTTTCGTTTAATAAAGTTATCTCGTCTCAAGTGCGATTTGTGAAAAATTGGCTTGTTATACAATGGGCGATTTGCGCAGGATTTGTCAATTATACAATGCCCGTTCGCGATTTGTCAGTTATTAATCAACAATTCGCTTCATCGCGTGTACCTGGAGAAAAAATCTGGGATAAATCGCGAACCAATTCCACACTTTTCGCGATTCACCTGTGGCCTTCCAAGCATTCGACGGGGGTTCGATTCCCCCCGAACGCAGACTCTTTTACTTTTTTGCACTCAAATTCACTTTATTATCAGAAATTTCAGTATAAATGTCTTTTTTTCAAAGTCAGTAGAGAGCACACTTTAGCCAAGTGGTCCAGATTGACCAAATGTTGAGAAAACGACGTGTTCGGTAGATTTGATTGCAAAAATAAATATGTTTATTAGTCTCAAATTCAAATTCAAAACACGAAAATTAGTGACGTTTAAATTAGGCCGGTCGCCCGAGCATCACATCCTTCAGCAACAGCATATTCATGTAATGCTCAAGCCGGCGAACCTGAAATGCCCTCAGATTCCGTTTAACTAGTTGGGACCATGGCTTGAGCAGTATCCTCGCAGCGAGTCGGGCAATTTCCAACGAATCTTCGATCGCTTCGATAATGTCCCGTTTGCTCAACGATTCCCATATCCAATACTGGATAATTTCGGCGATTTCCGTCGGTGTCGAGTAGTCCGGATGCTCGGCGAGCTTCGACAACAAGTCCGCCGTCGTTTGCACTTGAGACACCGAGACGTTGTTCCCTTTCCAGTTGGCGAGCAAGTGATTGATGCCCATCACCGCCTGATAGACCATTTCCCTGTCGCCGGCATGTTTTAGGATGACCTGCTGGGCAAGTCTCAACAACTCGACCACCTCCGAACGGCTCATTGGTGCATCCATCATAGTGGCTCTAAAGAAAATCTCCCGCAGGAGATCGTGGACGAAGATCGGGCGATCTGTGGCCATGTACCGACCGGCCATCTCTATGGGACTGAGCACTTTGAGCCCTGGACGCAGATTGAGCTCTTCGAGAGGTGAGCCGTAGGCCAGAAGCTCTTGGAGCTTCGGATGAGCGTCGATCACGATTTTTATGTTTTCAGACGTCATATTCGAGCCTCCAAGGTCCAGGGATCGTAGTTGAGGCCATGGCGACGCCTTCCGCTTCTGCAGTGCCTTTCGCGACTTCCTGAGGACGTACTCGGCCAGCGATGCTTCACTGAAACACAACTATTCACAACTGTTCTCACGTTGCTTCAACTTACGACACATCAATCACCGAAACATCCAACACTCTCAAATTGCTCAACGCTTTCAGCGCATCGAATCCGGACTCGACGTGCAAATCGTGCGTGATGAGCACTTCGAGACGTTCGAACGCGGCCAGACTGCTAATGTCCGTGATGCCAGTGCAGGAGATGTCGAGACACTTGAGTTGGGGACATCGGACAGACACCTCCTTCAGGACGCGCTTCGAGATTGGTCGATTCGCGAGGATCAGTGTGCAGAGGTTCGGCAGCCGGGGAAGTAACTGAAAAACTTGTGATTATTGAGTGACAAATCGATAAAAACTCACTCTAGACGGCCAGAATCGAGAGATATCACGGCTCCCACTCAAATCCAATACTTTGAGCTGTTGGCGGCATCTCTTGTTGAGCACCGACCGCATGAAAGTGCTCTCCGACACCTGATCGTGCTCATCTTCCTCCATCGGCTCTCCGTATCCAAGTTTGAACGACGTGTAGTGGTTCCTTTTGATCGTCTTCAGGTCCATTGACGTCAAGGGGATTCCGCTGGTGTCCAGTCGGCTGGCGGCGAATATTCCACTCTGGTACACCACCTCCCATTGCGTTTCGGTGAGCTCTCCGTGCTTTTCCTGATGCAGACGGAGCACCAAATCGGTCAATGTGGCCGGAAGAGCGGAGACCGTCATCGGGAGGCAACCAGGATGAAGAGCCGGACTTTTGAAGAGAAACGTACTCTTCTCAAGACAATCGGCTACTTTCTGGGCGGCCAGAAGGGTAAGCGGCGGAATCAAAGTCATTTCTGATTGCGTGCAACCCAGAGGAATGACTGAATGACCGAAGAAGGGTATCCTTTTATTGAAGAGACTCGCATCTCCACCTTCACACGGCGACCAAAAACGTAGAAAGGGGCGTGGCCTAGCGTGCACGGTTTTCACCATTTTGGCGCGAAATTCGAATTTTAACCCCATTTTTTTCATGTTTTTCGTCAAAAATTACCCACATTTTGTACGAGTTTCGACGATTTAGTTGCATAACTTTGTTAAACTAATCATCGCGCGCACTATTTGAGCTTAAAACGAGCAGGTTTCATTCAGAAATGAATCAATTGAATCGATTTTCAAGTTTTGTGCTGAAAATGCGCGAATTTCAGTCATTCGCCGACACCTTTTGCTGTTTGAAAGCTTAAAAATACTTTAAAAAAA